CCACCAGCCCCAGATCTGTTCCTGCAGCTCCCTTCTCTTCTCCCTGAATCCCTGTGCCAGTCTGGGGCCAAATTCTGCTGTCCCCCATAGAAGGGGTTTGGAGGGCACTACACTGACCTCCTGCCCCTGCTTGTGTGTTGCAGATGAACCGCCCCATCCAGGTGAAGCCGGCTGACAGCGAGGGTCGAGGAGGTAGGTCCCCAATTCCCCAGCTGCCTGGCATGGGCAGCAGGGCACAAGGCCTCCTGGATGGTGGGGGGGTGCCTGGTGGCATTGCAGGGACTGCTGTGGGGAGGTTGTTTGCAGAGAAACCTGTGAAAGGAACTGCCTTTGCTGGTGGCATCCACACCTGAGCCCAGAGCAAATGCCATCTTGTCTCTCCCTGCTCAGCCAGCTGTGGGGAACATCCCGACATCATCCTTGGTATGTCCTGACATCATCCTGGCGTCATATTATGAGCATCCTGACACCCTGGGGGGCAGAGCACCAGCCAGCCGCTCTCCCACACCCTCTTCATCTACCAAACAATCCAATTCCCTGCCCAGAGCTGCCTGTGGGGCCCCTGGCAGAATTGAGATGCACACAGCTGAGCCCCTCTCAAACAGAAACTGCTGTCTCTCCACCCCCAAATTCTCTGTGCTTGTTTGCAGCTCACGGGGCTGCAGCATTTCCAGGCTGAGGTGATAATTTGGGCAAAATCACGGAATTGGATCAAAATCCCTCATTTGTTGTGTTGCTGGGCATGTAGGCGCACTTGGACACGTGGGATGCTCCTGAGGGGTTGCCTGCCCACCACAGGATGGCTGGGGTAGACACCCCTCTGTTCAAACCCTGTTATTAAACATGCCGTGAGTTGGTCCCAGCATGTCCCAGAGGGACCTGGTAAATAAATTACCCACTTACCAGGCATAATTGGTGAAGGATTAAAAATCGATGGGCGAGCTGGGGTGCCCAGCACCGGCCCCCTCGCCCAGGAGGCAGCGCTGTGCCGCCCAGCCAGGAGATGGTTTATGTTTAACTAGACAACACACGAGCCCTATTCCCTTAACTAATTTTCCTGGTACCTTAACGGACGGAGCATTAATCGTCTCCTGCCATTATTTATTTATTTCCCCAGCAACGCTCTTGACAGGGCACCTTATTTTCTTTGTCAAATGCCATTAGCGTGCGGCG